TTGAACTGTAACCACATCTTTCATGTTCTCAGACAACGTCTCAACAAATAAACTAAATAAAAACAAAAGCTTCTGCCTTTCCATTTCTGACTCTAGTTAAAGTGTCTGTGCTCCTACCTAATACCCGTCCTTCCACTGGTATATTAGATCTCATCCTTTCACAAGCAGTCATACTCGAAGGCAAAACCTAATCTGTTCCCCCCTAACATCCCCCAAATGCCTCTCGTTTGTTTCTTTTTCCCCATCTTCCTTATTCTGGATAACAGCAAAGGCCACCTACCTGGCCACCTTTACTAGCTCATGAAGTCATCTTCCAATTCTTCTTCCCTCTTACCCAAGCAGTCGCTAAGTCTTTTCAATCCAACAGCCTGTCAATCTCTTACATTTATCTTTTTCTATCCTTACTAAATTCGCCACAATCAGCTCTTGCTTGAATGACCACTACTCTTCAGCTCCCCCCACAAAGCACCTGAAATTCTCTTGCTAAAACACAGATGTGACTACTCCCTTCCACCTCACCAATGGCTCAGCTAATTTTCCATTGGTTGGGGAATAAAGCAAAACCTCCTTAGTGTGGTATTCAAGGTCTTTCATCCTCTAGTCTAGCACCATCTTGCCTTTATAGTTACGGCTCCTGCTGTTCCTCCCAATATGTCTTATTGTTAGGGTGGGAATTCGCAGTGGAGGATGGGAAAGAATTCTGGACACAAAGATTAGGATAAAAAGAAGTAAAAAGTTTACTTTCAGAAAGAGAAAGGGAGGAAGGAAAGGATGTGGCACATGAAAGAAAGAAGTTCTGGTCTTGAGGTAAGGAATTCATGATTTTTACTGGGGTAAAAAGGAAGAGAAACTGCTCTCAGCTGATATCAAAAAGGCAGAAGCAGCTGCATCTATTCCCTTCTCCACCCCTCTCTGGGAAGCTGGCTTATCAGGGTCCTTGGAATATTGTCTGGCAGGAGCACACTCAGGTCTTCTCAGTTTCTTTTGAAGTGCTGTGAAAACAAACTCTTAAAGCCACAGGTAGTTAATCAAAGGGGTAGTTGTGTGATCTTCCTTTTCAAAGGGGCAATTACATGTTGTGGGTTTTTTCTGTTTTTTTGTCATTTTTCTCCATTAGTTGGTTTATTAGCAATGCTGTCTTTGCACTTATATTCCAGCCACCGTTCGCTATATACTTCTGTCTATGCCTCTGTCCTTGCTGCCCCCCTGCCTGAGTGCTCTTTTCTCCCTTTTTTTCCCTGAAGAATTCTTATTAATTGAAAACTATAAAAATAATGGTTAATTTCTGAACACTTGTCATACGCCAAGTACTATGTTAAATGTTATGTATTATCTCATTTAATTCTCTGAAAAATGAATTAACTTATTCAATGGCTAGCAAATTACTGATGCAGGATTTAAACTTGGTTCTGATGCCACAACTCATGATCTAACAGCATTGGTGAAGTTTTCTGACTCATAATTGCTTTTTCCTTCATGCTGCAAAACGAAGGTTTCTTTTTTTCCTTTCCTTTTCTTTCCTTCTTCCCTTCCTTCCTGTAGGACCTTACTCTGTCACTCAGGCTGGAGTGCACAGGCATGATCATAGTTCACTATAATCTTGAACTTCTGGACTCAAATGATCCTCCTGCCTGTCTTCTCAAAGTGCCAGCATGAGCCATTTCATCTGCTGTAGAAGCAGTTCTGTTATAGAAGTTAAACACGAAAGTCTTTGAAGTCAGACTTTCCAGGTTTGAATTCTAGATCTGTGGCTTGTCAGCTGTGTGACCTTGTGCCTAAGTCTCTTTATTATGAGAAGTGATAATGTTAATAGTACCTACCTCATGGAATTGTTGGTGAAATTAAATGAGTCAACCAATGTAAAGAGTTTAGCGCAGTGCCTATTACAGACTTCTGGCCCTGCAGACACAACCTGTCCTTTGTTGTGTCTATGCTCTATGTCCCTCCAGAGATTCAGGCGGCTGGAAGGAGAAAGATCTCCCCCACTCATCTTCCAAACTCCAGCACTCAATACAGAGATCTTTCACTAGATTGGGCGCTCCACAAACATTTGTCAAGTCGAATTAGTAAATCTGCACATGTTTGTGCCAGACAAGAAGATATTTATAAGGTCATGATCTATGCTGAACTATAGCTTTAATGGCATGTGACTCTTTTACAGAAAGTAGTTACCAAATTTGGTTGGCCACCCAAAAGCTTCTGCCTGGCTTATAAAACTCCAGGTCAAACATTCATCATTTCTTTGTGCGGGGAACATTTCAAATCTCCTCTAGCTAAATGTCTGAAGTGATGATATCCTACATATCCTGATTTGCTCATTATATAGTCTATGCATGTATCAAAATATCATATATCCCACAATTATAATTATGTATACTTATTATGTATCATTAAAAAAAATTGATGTTACATAATAATCAATTCATTGATTAAGGAAAGAGGCCTGGAAATATCTGGCATTCTGTTTCTGTGAATAGCAAGTGTTTTTGCTGTCAAGTTTTTCCCAAGTTCCCTCACTTGTGAGGCCAAGACTTTCCTTGGGAGTAGGAAGGGACACCCTTTGTAAGGTTCAAGACTTCTCAGACTCAGCTGGAGGTATTCAGCTGTGGATAAACACAAAACCAGCCCTCCACCCTCCTTTTTCTCCTCCAGTGAGCAGTGACTGGGGTTTAAGAGTTTTGAGTTTCACTTCTAACCACAGGGTAGTAAAAGGCTATAGACCCAAAAGAGGCCTCAAACACATCTTTCACCTGAGCCTGAGGATTCCTGGGAGGGCATTGACTCAAGTTACATCCCTTTATTCCACTGCCCTGTTCTTGTTTATTTACATTTTAGCCTGCCTTACTAGATGAGGCTGCAGGAGTGAGGGGTCAGGAAGAGGTTTCAAAGGAGAGTGAACGTGGCAGAAAAGGAAATATTTGATTAGCAGTTAACATGTCTTCTGGGGCATCTTTGATTTGGATTATTGTAAAAGTGCATGGTATAATGATTAAGCACTCCCAGGGGGTAGACAGGGTGGGGAACATGGAGGGGGAGCTGTGGCTTTGTTTCTGATGAGTTGCTGCTGCTATGCATAAGGCAGACTAGACCAAATGCGGCATAGAGGAGAAGCAGCATTCACAGGACCAGAGTGACCATGCAGAATACTAAACTCACCATCCTCACCTGATCCTGTGCTTTAGCCTGTCCTATTCCTCAACTAAGACTTGCGAATTGCTTAGGCTTGGAGTCAGCCTACAATCCTTTCCTCTGCCTCCAGATCTTGTCCACTTTCCCTCCCAAAAGTCTTTCAAATCCATTTCCTTCTTTCCACCTCCACTGGCAATGTGCTCATTCCCAGATTCATGTTTTCTTAGAGTTTATCTTCCTTACAGGTCTCTAAGCCTAAAGTCTTAGGCCTCTTATTTTATTTTCCATATTATTGTCAGAGGGATTTTTCTAAACTAGCTTAAAATCCTTCCGTGGCCTTCCAGATCAAGCAGGCTCCCCACAGGCTGGCTTGCGAAAGTTCTCTGAATTCTGTTGCCTCCACACCCGTGAGCCCCTTCACACCAGTAATCCTGATCCTGCAAACAATTCCTAGAACATGCTCCCAAAGCTTGCAGCTTTCTGTGCCTGCTCCTGGTTCTTTCTTCAGAAAGGGAAGAATCCCTCCCTCTCCCCATGGTTTCTCTTCTCCCTTCCTCTTCCTTAGATTGAATGAAGGTTTTCTCACCTGTATCCCAATACCTTATTGTAGCATTCCTCATAAACTGCACTGTATCTCTTACCTGGGCAAAAGAATGAACTGCTTCCCAGCACCTAGGTTTGGCATACAGTAATTGCCCAATAAATAAGTGCTAAATGAATGAATGAACTCTACTATCATATTAGGGTTCACTCATAGTTCAGGGAAGGGGCCTTTAAATACTTGGTTGTGAAATAAGGAAATAGTCATTTCAATTATGTTTTAGATGGGTAGAATTTCACACTTGATAAAAGGATTGTAAAGTTTCATGTTTCTTCAAGCTAAAGTGACGGACTAAAGCCTATTTTGTAAAGGGGCCAGGTTAAAAAACTTCTCTAGACTTGATGAAACACTGTAATTGTCAGCTTTGGCTGAACACTAAGAGGTTTAAGAATTATATTCGCCAGTTAAGTGTTTCAAGAAATGTCAAACCTGCTGCTTAAAAAAAAAAGTTACCCCAAGGCCACCAGTTTACTCGCTCAGAGGTCAGAAGCGGTGTGAGAAGTGGGCATTTCAACTATGAAATGAATTTTGCCTAATGAGGGCTGAGACCAGTACACACTGACAACAACGAGGGCTGACGCTAAAGAAACAGGTAACGTTAACACAAAGGGGCCTACTACGTAGCACATCTTCGCCAAACATAAAGAGACACCTTCATTCCACACCGCAACTCAAGGATGGAATGCACTGCTGCCTTGTGAGGTAGTGAGCCGCCTTCTACTCCCAGGGTCCCCTTCTCTTCCACGAAGGCAGCGGGCCCAAGCCGAGGCAGGACGAGTCCGAAGGACAGGTGGACACGAGACTAGGCCAGGTGTCCTTTGACTCTTCGAACGTTGACTTTCTCGGGCCTACTGATCTTTTCGAGTCCTTCGATTCTTTCGAACCTTTTGATTCCTGGTTGTTAAGTGTTAAAGCGCAGCTGAGAAAAGCTGGGAACAAAGATGAGAAGGGAGCTAGTAAGAGTACTCAGAGAAAAGGGGGAGCCCGTTTGGGAAGAAACGATGAAGCAGAGAATAAGCGAGTAGAGAAGAGGAACAAACGCAGAAGAGGAAACAGGGAGGCGGAGAAGAGAGGGAGAGGAACCGCAGAGAAGGAGAGAGTGACCAAACGCGTTCGGGAGGCGAGGAAGGAAGGCACGCCCAGGGGGAACAGGCTGCTTTAAGGGATGCCACGCCCCCTAGCGTGACGCAGCAGCAGGCCGGTCCGCAATTGGGTGCGGCCGGAGGGCGGGATGGGGTTGCTAGGCGCGGAAGGGATCCGGCTGGCCCCCGCCGCCCCGAGCGCCGAGCCGGGGGAGCGGAGCCAAGGTTAGCGGCGCTGGTGGAAGATGGCGAGAGGCTGGGGCGCGCGGCCGCCCTGGCGTCTGAGGAGCCTCCCGCTGCTCCTGTGCCTCCTGCTGCTAAGGAGCCCGGCCCAAGCGGCTCACATCAAGAAGGCGGAGGCCACAACAACGACAAGCGCGGGCACCGAGGCGGCCGAGGGCCAGTTCGACCGCTACTACCACGAAGAGGAGCTGGGCTCGGCGCTGAAGGAGGCGGCGGCCGCGGGGCCCCCTGGCCTGGCCCGCCTCTTCAGCATCGGCCGCTCGGTGGAGGGCCGGCCGTTGTGGGTCCTGCGACTCACGGCTGGCCTGGGGTCGCTGCTCCCTAACGGCGACGCGGGGCCGGATGCTGCGGGGCCGCTCGTGCCGGGTCGGCCGCAGGTGAAGCTGGTGGGCAACATGCACGGCGACGAGACCGTGTCGCGTCAGGTGCTCATCTACCTGGCCCGCGAACTGGCGGCCGGCTATCGCCGCGGGGACCCGCGCATCGTCCGCCTTCTCAATACCACCGACGTATACCTGCTGCCCAGCCTCAACCCCGACGGCTTCGAGCGCGCTCGCGAGGGCGACTGCGGCCTCAGCGACGGTGGCCCTCCCAGGGCCAGCGGCCGCGACAACAGCCGCGGCCGCGACCTCAACCGCAGCTTCCCCGACCAGTTCAGCACCGGCGGGCCCCCCTCCCTGGACGAGGTGCCAGAGGTGCGCGCCCTTATAGAGTGGATCCGCAGAAACAAGTGAGTGTTGCCCACTCCCTCTGTCGCATCCACGCGAGCTTAACCCAGAACCAGGGGGCGCTTAAACAATGCTGGCTCTAAGAGGTGGCGGTGGTGAGGGTGGAGGGAGACACCCTGTAATAGGGACAGGGCCCAGGCTACTCCTGTCCCGCTAATTGTCTAGGAAGCGCTGTCTGGAGGCTATTGGTTCAAGGGATGAGGAGACTCCTTTCTGGCGTTCTAGTCCCCATTCTCAAAGGACCATAGGCTGTGAGCAATGGTAGAGACCTTAAGGGTACACTAGGTTCGCTCGCTCATTTGATAGACCAGCTGTCAATATGGTTATAACTGTAGGCACTGTGCTAAGCTCTTTCCAAGATTGCATTTTCTCACTTTATGCTAGCCACGACCTGATGACATAGACACCATTAATAACCCTGTCTGCATTCAGGTCAGATTGGTTAAGTAATTCACACAGTAAGCAGTATAGTTGGGACTTGGGACTCAGGCAATCTGATTCCTGGTCAGTATTCTTAATAACAGCCAGGGAGGGAGTCTGTAGCCCAGAATTGGTAAATGACATCTTCAGGGTATTCTGCCTTTGGTTATTTGACAGAAATGGGTTCTCTTTCCAGTCTTTACCTCTGACTCAGCTAAGGAGCTTATGAACTTGGCTGAAGAACTTGCACAGATCTGTGAGCCGCTTCATTTTAGACTCTGAAGGTTTCTAGTGCCATTTGTGTACCTTATAAAAGGGCCTGGGCAAAATGGCTAATTGTTTACACTTAATACACATCTTGAGCGTTGTTAAGCACTGTGTGACATTTAAAAAATGAAAAAGTAGAAGCACAAAGACTTGAAGAAATTAGTATAAAATGAGAGAATATTATAAATATTTATGAAATGTGTTTATGTACCAAGTTAAACTTTGCAGGAATTGTTCCCAGTGGTAAAAATGTGTGTGGGCTTTCAATAATGCCCACACACTTCTTCTCTTTATGTAGAAGAGGTAGAATCTTGAGAGATGGGTAGGATTCTCAACAAAAAGGAGGAGAGGAATAAAGGAAGAGGGAACTTAACTCCAGATGTCATGGTGTCTGAAATGAGCATGCACCTTCTCCCTTTTTCACGCATCAGCTTTGCCAGCTTGTGTCTTCATAAGGCTTTTGAAGCAATGGTTAATCATTCCATCTTGATTTAAAGAAGGTTTCTGAGTGACAGATAAGTTAAAGGTGATAATGAACACAGAAGTTTCACTGTGGGACTTGGAATCATATCTTCCACAAGATTTCAGACCAGTATAGTACAAAATCTGTGGGCATTGAGACAGTCCCAGCCATTTTAATATCTACCTTTCACTTTATAAAGGAGACTTTATAAGATCTCCTATAGATAATTAATTGCATATAGACTTTCTGGGAGGATTTTCTTTTAAAGATGATCCTCCTCATGACCTCTGAACATCTGAATGAGAAAAACGACTTTGACATATACTTATTGCCAGAAGCTGTGATGGCCAGGGATTTTCTGAGATGATCTATCAAATACACTGCTTGCATTGTTTAAATGTTTACAGTGTCCTGTCACGACCCTTGCAGAGATGTAAATTCTGTGGCTGGATTTTTCTGTTCAGTATTAGTTCCACTGCTTATACCAGTGAGCTTTGTCTTGGCTTAAGTCACCTTGAGGCTATGAAGAGTTGTTTTGTTCTGTGGCTATAGACTTCTCCAACCATACCCAACCATTTTTCAAACATATAACTCTAATCAAAAGAGAAAGTAGGTGACTGTATAGGGTCAAGAGTATATCCATCCATCCCCAGTCTTCAAAAAGTAACTCAAAATGCATATTCTTTATTAGTAACAGAGGAAACTGATATGTGAATAAAATTAAAAACACAAGAACACACACACTTTGAGATTGATGTCTAAATATAGCATCAGCTTTATGACTAGGACATTAAAAATTCAAACATTAGTCTGCCTGGGAAAACTACCCTTTTCAGTTCATTTTGTGAGGTAAATCATTGGGTAGTTTCTCGATATCCTATTCACTCAGCTATGTTAGAAGTAGATTTTTGTTCTTATTTTGGATATGTAAAATCATAAGACTTCATTTCCTCCAGTTTAGTTTTTTTTTTTTTTTTTAATTTTTTTTTTGCAGTTTTTGGCCAGGGCTGGGTTTGAACCCGCCATCTCTAGCATATGGGGCCAACGCCCTACCTCTTTGAGCCACAGGCGCTGCCCCATTTCCTCCAGTTTAGAAAAGTAAATTTTATTTTCTTTGTTTCACTTTATACTTCATCCAATAGGTGTTGAGATAAATAGGAAAATATAAAAAATGTAAACTCCACCATTAACATAAACTTTTTATAGTTTACTTGACTCCCATGTTTTTTGCACACTCGGTTTACTTCAAGTCAATATACCTGCTTAGATTTTAAGAGGAGATTAGCATATAAATGATTTTTGATATGTTTCTGAAAAGCATTATCATAGTGTTGTGGGTGAGTGAAGATTATTTGGGGGGAACTTGTTTATATATATCTACAATTTCCTGAATCTTTAATTTGTCAGAGATCAAGTTTTCTGAATTATTTTCAAGTTATCCACAGGTTATTTGGAGAGCATAATAGAGTTTATTTAGGGTTTCACTTTTTTTTTTTTGGCAGGGGCTGGGTTTGAACCTGCCACCTCCAGCATATGAGGCCAGTGCCCTGCCCTTTTGAGCCACAGGCGCCACCTGGGATTCACTTTTTATTATTTATGTTTATCAGCTACTTTAAATCTTATATAAAGAATGACATATTAAGTCAAGTTTGAGAAACACTTGAGAAAATTGATTTGAATGGAAAGCATAAAATACCTTTCAAATAAGATTGCAGTTGCTATGCAAAGTTGGTTTGACAAAGACTCAAAGTAGTAATCTTATAACCATTATAATATGTGTCACTTTCTTTTGAAATCCTCTTTTTAAGAGTGGTATTGGTACTTTAAAAACTGTGTAATTAGGCCACCGGAAATCCCTGTGCCTTGTCAAAGAGAAAAAGGCTGAGTGCGGAAGAAAAGAACCCACTTGATGGAAATAGGTTTTGAGACAAAAGATGTATTTCAGCTAAAAGATATGGAGAAGATTGCTCCCCAAAAGAAAAGCAAGATGAAACATCTAACACAATTACTGCCTGATAGCTCCTCCTCTACAAATGCAGATGAAATCCTAGCCTCCCGGAGTGCTAGGATTACAGACATTTCATCTACCATTATATCAGTAAAAGAAATCCTTCAAAGTTTAGTTGATGATGGTATGGTTGACAGTTGAGAGGACTGGAACTTGCGATTACTATTGGGCTTTTCCAAGTAAATCGCTTCATGCAAGGAAACATAAGTTGAAGTTTCTGGAATTAGTTGTCTGAGGGAAGCCAAAAGCATGCAAATCTACAGAAAAGCATTGAAAAAGCTAAAATTGGTCATGAGATAGCAGAGCAAGCTATGCTAGTAAAAGAACTTTCTTCACTTCAGGACCAAAGGGAACAGTTAAAGGCAGAAGGAAAGTGGGGCACGGTAGCTCATGCCTGTAATCCTCTGGGAGGCCAAGGTGGGTAGATTGCCTGAGCTCACAGGTCCGAGACCAGCCTGATCAAGAGTGAGACCCCCGTCGCTAAAAATGCAGGTCATTGTGTTGGGCACCTGCAGTCCCAGCTACTTGGGAGCCTGAGGCAGGAGAATTGTTTGAGGTTGCTGTGAGCTATGATGCCATGCACTCTACTGAGGGCAACAAAGTGAGACTATCTCCAAAAATTAGTACATAAGTAAACAAACAAATAAATAAAGGCATGAGTAGAAAAATACAAAGAATGTGACCTACAAATTGTGGAAGAAATACTCAAATAAAGTAGCTGAAGAAGTTGCTAACAAATGGACTGATAACATATTTGCAGAAAAATCTTGGGCCAAAAGAAAATTTGGATTTGAAGAAAATAAAATTGATAAAAATTTTAGAATTCCCAGAAGACTTAGACTACAGAGAGTAAAATGTTTGGTGGTGAAGGATGGCTCTATGAGCTTGTGAATATAAATGTAAATTTATAAATATCCAACTAAATGTACTGACTTGTCATTTACCTATAACTATTTATTATTTTATTTTAAATAAAGTATAAAATGCTAAAAAAAAAAAACCCTATGTAATTAGAGAAAGGAAAAGAGGATTGAATTATATCACTCAGTTTATCACCCAAACTGCAGACATTTCATTATTCTAAAAATATTTGATTAGGCCATTTTAACAGTGTTTCTGAGACATGTTGCAAGAGATGCCAAACGAAAGGAAAAGCAGACTGTAGTAGAGAATCTTGGATTTTAAAGTTTTAATTAAAAATATGTAATTAAAGTAGCATGCTTCACTTATTTAGAATATTCAGTTATGCATTGTATTCTGCTTTAATATAAAACCCAGGAGGAGATTTGTTTGTTTTGTTCACTGATATATCCACAGTGCCTAGAACAGTGGTTCTCTGCCTTCCTAATGCTGCGAACCTTTAATACAGTCCAAAGGGGTTGACCCACAGGTTGAGAACCGCTGGCCTAGAACAATGTTAGGCACATAGTTGACATTTAATAAATATTTGTTGCTTGGTGGATTACTTGAGCTGAAGTCAGTGGGGGAAAAAAGTACTTACATTATTTTAGAAATACAAACTGGAAAGAAATCTTAATAATTTAGCAGTAGGGGATGTTGGGTATGTTAGAGTTAAGAAGTTAGAATATTTGTTAGTTTTTGTTTCTGTATTATTCTGTTACCCAAGAGCTGACAATAGAATTGGGGAATAGATTGATAATCTATAAGGCAGTGATTCCCTATACAAGATGCTAGATATCTCCAAGGAAATAAGCATTTATAGAGCAGGAGCTGTAAGGCAATAATTGTGTTAGCAGATGTTTCATGTATGTTGTGGGTCATTACAAAAGTTTTGAGATACACAAAAATCAAGTGTAAAATCTTCATAGATGGAAGCAAATGAAGTCCTCCCAACAACATCAATGAGCCAAACAAGGTGAAACTTGCACCAGTAAATCAGAAAGGACACTATTGGCCAGGCGTGCTGGCTCACGCCTATAATCCCAGCACTCTACCCAGGATGACAAAATAAGACTCTGTGTCAAAAAGAAAAGAAAACAAACAAAAAAAAAGACCTTTTTTTTTGTTGTTTGTTTTAGAGAGAGAGTCTCATTTTATCACCTTCAGTAGAGTGCTGTGGCATCACAGCTCACAGCAACCTCCAATTCTTGGGCTTAGGTGATTCTCCTCCCTCAGCCTCCCAAGTAGTTGGGACTACAGGCGCCCGGCTATTTCTTGTTGCACTTTGGCTGGGGCTGGGTTCAAACCTGCCACCCTCAGTATATGGGGCCAGCGCCCTATCCACTGAGCCACAGGTGCGCCCCAGGGGGAAGAAAATATACTGTTAACTGTGTTTTTTGGAGGTGAAGTAGTGGATCATAACATAGTCTGTCTCAACACTTTTGTAGTGACCCAAGTATCTTATTTAATTTTCATAAAAATTCTGGAAAGCAGGTGGTATTAACCTCCATTTTATAGATGAGAGGAAAACTGGAGTTCAGTGAATTAGAGGCAGTAAAACTTCTCCTGATCTTATTACCAGTGAGCAACAGATCCCGGGGACTGACTGTTCTTACCCATATTTACCCGGCTTCAAAGCCTGTACTATTGCCACTATACCAAATGGCATTCTCCTCTGGTGTCTGGAAGAGTGCTAATTATGATTATATTGGTTTTTAACTAGTCTCTTTTTATAATCTATTCTAGTGTTTAATCATGGTGGGATGAACAGATTATGTGTTACAAGTAATTTTCATTGTTTGCTCTCTCTGGATAGCACTGATCATGCCAAATCTAACTTTTCAAAGTAGACATATGATAGGTTTGTTTTTCTTTCAAGCATATATAGAGAAATGTTATGTATCAGTCCCCTTTAGAATTTCTGTAGGTGAGTCATTTTCAATCACAGAAAGGCAGAAGCAAGAAAATCCAATTTAGAGTGCAAAGAGAAAAATACTTAATCTCTACTCAAAATCATGGTTTGAACTGTTACTTTACATAAGGGATAATTGTATGAAGGGAACTTAAGCATGTTTTTTGTCTTTAACTTTCATCATAAAAGGAGTTCGTAAGTATATATAAGAAAATACATATAAACATTAGACCAAATTACAAATTGATTTACTTAAAAGTAGAAGCATTATAAAAATTCTTTTGTAGGAGCATCCTTGTCTCCGTATCAGTTTAGTTTTTAAAGACTCAATCCAAAACCATGGGTCTGGAAAGAGAGCTGCTTCTAAGCAGTGATGAAATGGAGGACTAGTCTTTGATATGCTGTATTGTTTTTCTCGGAAAGTAGCTCAGTGTATCAGGATGTTTTGTTTTGTTTAGTTTTTGTTTCAGAATCTCCTCGACTGTGGCTTCTCTCTTGAAAATGTGAATTTAATGTATTGTAAACCTAGAGTCAGACAAAACACGTCCTGTTTTAAATTAGACTCCCTATCTTAGAAATTCTCTGTACAATAAAGGTAAAAAGCACAAAAGTTACTAACTTAACTCATGGATTAAAGGTATGTGTATGTATGCCAGCTATGTTTTCTATGACATTGACACATTATGAGTTACAAGTATTAGCGTGAACTATATGAAATTTCATTTTTGTAGGTCGAAAATGGCTGAGCATTGGCAGGTTCATACAGGTCAACCTAATACATGACTTTGGAATTCTCTAAGTAAGACACTTCCTAGAATGTTAATTTATATTGTGTTGTCTAGCTACTTTCTCAATAATGGAAAATTCTTTAAATTTACTTTTGGTTAACTTGAATTACCAAAGCTGTTTGAAATTTTAGGTTGATAACACTATTTCCTTTGCTGTCGATTGTGGTGGTCTGCTTCTAACAGCAGATAGAGTTGTCTGTCTTCTATGTCTCCAAGAGATATGTCTGAGTTCCTTTATGGAAAATGTTATGGAATTTAAAATGCATGCTGTTTTCTGTGTCCTTTCTGATTGATATGTGATTTGGTTGTGTTTTCATAGGTTTGTGCTTTCTGGAAATCTGCATGGTGGCTCAGTGGTAGCAAGCTATCCTTTTGATGATTCTCCAGAACATAAGGCCACTGGAATTTATAGCAAAACCTCAGATGATGAAGTCTTTAAATACTTGGCAAAAGCGTATGCTTCCAACCATCCCATAATGAAAACTGGTGAGCCTCATTGTCCAGGAGATGAAGACGAGACTTTCAAAGATGGAATCACAAATGGTGCACACTGGTATGATGTGGAAGGTACGCATAGCACTGAATTTGCTGTGTTTTCCCTCTTGTTCATTTAGTTTTCTTAAGTATATTCTGAACAGAAAAGAAGAACATTGTAGAGTTTTAATTTTTGAAAATCTTTTTTTTTTTTCAAACCCATAGTAAAATTAAAAGACTACATGAACACATAGGTATCCTTCATTTAAATTCACCACTGTTACCTTACTCCAAATGTTCTGTCTCTTCCTCTCACACTTTCTGTTTCTCCCTACACACATAATCTTTTGTCAAACCATCCAAAAGTAGGTTCATGACCCTTTACCTATAAGTTCCTCAGCATGTATTTCTATAGGGACAGTCTTCTGTACAACTGTCTACTATCACCATAACTGAGAAATCAACAATAATTCAGTACTATAATCCCACATACTGTCCATAACTTAGAGAATTTCTCGTGTTATCCCCCAAATAGCCTTCATAGCCAATCAAAATTTGAGCATTACATTTGGTTCTTGTGAAAAGTCCAGGCCAGTTATGGAACATTCTATAATTTGGATTTGTCCCTTTCTTCATGGTAAGATTCAGGTCAGATTTTCCAGTAAAACCATTAGTTATAGATCACATCACATCATATCAGGGGCAAATAATGGTAAGTTGCATGTAGCTAAATTGGACCACTTGGTTAATATACTGACCACCACCAATCTGATTTATCCATTTTATATAAAGATACATTTTCCTTTTGTATTTTAATCTCTGGGGTAATCATGGTTTTTTTTTTTTTTTTTTAATTTAAAGTCTTGTTTATTTTGTTGCCCTGGATAGAGTGCTGTGGTATCATCATAGCTCACAGAACCCTCAAACTCTTGGGCTCAAGCTATTCTCAGCCTCCTGAGTAGCTGGGATTACAGGAGCCCACCACAATGCCTGGCTAGTTTTTCTGTTTTTAATAAAGATGGAGTATCACTCTTGCTCAGGCTGGTCTCAAATTGCTGAGCTCAAGCCATCTCCTGGACTCAGCCTGCTAGAGTGCTAAGATTATAGGCATAGCCACCTCACCTGGCTGGTGGTATTTTTTTCTGTGGTAAAAAATATATATACATATAACGTAAAATTTACAATTATAACTATTTTTAAGTATAGAATTCAGTGGCATTAATTATATTCACAAGGTTGTATAACCTTACCACTATTTTCAAAACTTTTCTTCACCCCAAACAGAAACTCTAAGTAAGTATAAACTTAGTAAGTTTGTAATTCTCATTCCCTCTCTCCCTCCCTAACCACACTGCCCACCCACAAGCCACTGGTAACCTCTAATCCAGCAGTTTTCAACCTGTGGGTCGCAACCCCTTTGTAATAATGAAAATACATCGCGACATTAGGAAGGTTGAGAACCACTGTTCTAATCTATAATACTATATCTATGAATTTGTCTATTTTAGATATAAGTGGAGTCATACAATATTTGTCCTTTCCCATCTGACTTATTTCTCTTAGCATAATGTTCTCAAGGTTGACCACTTTTGTAACACGTATAAGAACTTAATTGCTTTTTATGTACATAATTTTGTTTATCAGTTCATCTGTTGATGAACACTAGATTATTTCCACCTTGGCTGCCATGAATAATGTTGTAATGAACATTGTCATACAAGTATCTGTTTGGAGAGTCCTTGTTTTCAATTCTTTTAGGTATATACCCGGGAGTGGTAATTCTATGTTTAGATTTTGAGAAACTGCCAAACTGTTTTCCAGTTCCACCAGCAATATATTAGGGTTCTAATTTCTCATGGAATGCTATATTTTATTTAATTTATTTTTGAGACAGAGTCTCACTGTGTTGCCCTTGGTAGAATGCTGTGGCATCACAGCTCACAACAATCTCAAACTCTTGGACTTAAGCAATTCCCTTGCCTTAGCCTCTCAAGTAGCTGGGACTACAGGTGCCCGCCACAATGTCCAGCTATTTTTTTGTTTTAGTTGTCATTATTGTTTGGCAGGCTCGGGCCAGGTTTGAACCCACAAGCCTTGGTGCCCTATCCACTGACCTACGGGTGCCGCTGGAATGCTGTTTTTTAAAGAATTGTTAAGTAGCCAGGGCTGGTGGCTCACACCAGTAATCCCAGCATTTTGGGAGGCCAGAAGTTCAAGACCAGCCTGGGCAACATAGTGACCTGTTTCTACAAAAAATAAAAAAAAAATTCTAGGCCTGGTGTCAAACACCCAGCTATTTGGGAGGATGTGGTGGGAGGATTGCTTGAGCCTAGGAGGTTAAGGCTGCAGTGAGCTATGATCAGACCACAGCACTCCAGCTTGGGCAGCAAAGACTCTCTGTTTAAAAAAAAAAAAAAAAAAAAGAATTGTTAAAGAAAGCTTCGATTGTTTACTTTGTCTTTTTAAATGTTACACAAACAGCTATTGGTCTTCTAAACTTTCAGTGTACTTAGAATAATAGCTTTTTTGTTTTTATGCACAGATTTAGAAGGAACACGTCAACCAGGGAAAAGTCATCAGGATAACCTTTTTCTCTTCTTAGTATCTGACCATTGTAGATTGCCTTAGGTTTTCTTTACCTTCTTAAAAGTGTCTTATGACACGTCTCTTAATGCGCCTTTATTTAAACCTTAGAATTACTCTTTTACATTTCATATCAAGCCATGTGTACACAAAATGGATCCTAAATTTGAGAACTTAATACCTTCTAGAATTTTCTGATTCCCCCTGTAGTTTCAACCAGTGTTTCTTGTATACAACAAGCTCGTACAAAGAAACTTGAAATACTATTTAGGAGCCTACTTGTCCCCCCATAATAAGGAGCGATGACTTGAAAATCCATAAATAATTTTTTATAGATAAGGGACATACTTGAATATATTTAATCCTTAAATTTCAATCTTCAGTAAATATATTTACTAAAACCTAACTTTGTGAACTGGTGGTTTTATGATCTAGTCAAGTTACTTTACTAATTTGAGATGGTGTTACTTAAAATAATAATTTGAAAAATAATTTACTTTTCCTTTTAAAAAATAGTTGTAAAGGCTTAGAAAGTAATTTCTAGTTGACTATTCATCTATGTTAAACTATTTAATAATTCAAAAATAAATATCCTGCCTTCACAAAAACCAAGGGTACTTTGGAATTAAAGCTCATTAAACCAATTATCAGATTTTTCTGATTCTTCAAACATCTGAAAAAGCTCAATTTTACTGCTGCCCCTGTTACTGTTTTTATGAGCATTAACTTTTCTCCTGTTTTAGTTGAATGGTCAGACAGGTCTTATGTTATTTCTACAGTAACTGGCTTATTTCTCTTCTGACCCCAGCATGTTTGGAGCCATTTCCCTTTGAAGAGGAGGCTGTAATAGTTTCAAACAGGGAAAATTTTATTTTGTTTATCTTAAGCAGTGTAAGTTGTTGTGAAACCTTGTGACTAGGCATATATTCAAACCCGGATGTCCTGGAGTAATTTCACCAATGCCTTATTGTGATGCATTGAGGAGTACTACCTCAAAGAATTACAGGCTTTTAGAGCTGAAAGTGAATGTATTGATTTAGTCTGACCCTTGGGCTTTATAGAAAATCAAGGCCCAAGAGAACACACAGCTTGTGCAGTATAATTTGTTCAATTAGCAAACATTTGCTGGGTACCTGCCAGCCCTGTATACTGAACCAGGTGATAGGGATACAGCGGGAGCAAAACGGGAACAATGTGTGCTCTCAGGGATGGGAGAGTGTTAGTGTGGAATGTGAGTGACTGGCCCCTTCCACCTTTTCTGTTATTGCCAGTGTTGACTCAGCACTTCAGGGGGCCTCTGCGGGGGAGCCTTGCTTCTCTCCACATGCCTTTCAAACCTACAGGACCCATTTGAGGAATGGCTATTTCAAAAAGGCCCTTCAATAGTGTGCTGCCCTCCTAAAGGCTTTTTATTGTGAGAGCCTAAGCTGGACTTGCTTGGAACAGAGTACCTTTTTTTCTTTTTTGTAAATGACAGTGTGTTGATTTGTATGTTATTTGCCTGTCATTCTTTACAGTTTTAAAGACGTTGTAAAAATCATTTGATGGTTTAGTATGTTTATACCAAAGTACATTTAATGAAACTGAACTGTAGTGTTAGGTCAATTTTTAAAAATTGCTCTCTTTCAACTTATAAAATTTAAGAAAGGGCGAGTAACCCCAGACTCTATATAATTGAAATTATTTGATTAAATGCCATAGTTTTGTATAACTTTCAGAAGTTTTCTTGGGCAAAACATTGTTACATTTTACTTTCCCAGAGATGGACAGTAGAAGGCAGTGCTTTATAGTGGCAGAGAGAGAGCTATGGAATCCCACTGCCTTGGGTTTGAATCTCAACTCTGCCTTGACCCCCGTGTGTGTGTGTGTGTGTGTGTGTGTGTGTATCTGCGTACGCACATGTATGAGTGAGAGAGAGATATCTTAGAAAGTTAGTGAATTTCTTTAAGCCTCAATTCCTATACTCTATATAAAATGAAGATAAATATTATCTTCCTCAAATGATTACAAGGCTCAAGTGAGAATGTATATAGAGCACTTAGCTGAAAGTCTGGTACAATGGCTACTTATCTCCACCATGAGTTTAAACCTCATGAGGGTAGAGACTTTATTTATTCTGTTTTCTATTTCCAGCACATGGAACCATGTGTGGCATATAGAAAGGTAAATAAAAAGTCTTTTTTAAATTTTTGAATAAATGAATTCTTGCCATCTGAAAAATAAGTACATTGGGTTTCTTTTGTTTTTTGTTTTGAGACAGGAGACTCAAGCTGTCCCCCCTGGGTAGAGTGCTATGGCATCACAGCTCACAGCAACCTCCAACTCCTGGGCTCAAGCGAGTCTCCTGCCTCGCCTCCC